ATGGAAAGGGCGGCCGAGGCTTCCGGCGGGCAGGACGGGGCAGGCGGGGGCCGGACGGCGCGGGCCTCAGGGCAGGCATAGCAGAGGTGATGCTGCTCGCGGCGGGACACCGGGCCGCTGCGGGTGTGAGGGCCGTGGCGGGCGCGGGTCTCTCAGTCAAGGGCGGGTGGGGCCCCCACAGCCCGGCTTTCCCCGGTGCCAGGCGCTGACGCCAGGCGGGGTCCTCCGGCTCGCCTCCAAATAAGGGCTTCCTGCTTCCCATATATGGCCATGTACGTCAGGGCCGGGGCGGGCTGCGGCTGGTGGGATCCGATATATAGAGGCGGCTCCGGAGTGGGCGAGGAGCCGAGCGCTTCCAGCGGGCAGCGGGGGGAAGCCCCGGGCCGTCCGGTGGGCGGAAGGTGATCGCTTCCAGCGGGCAGCGCTGGGTGGACGAGGCGCAAGGGCAGGCAGCAGGCAACGGCCGCCTCGCCGCAGCCGGCCCATCCATCGGGCCCGCGGCGGCGGCATCACCCGTCAGAGCCCGAACCCGGCTCCCTCATGGCTGCGGCCAAGGCAGAGATGCAGCTCCTGCCCTCGCTGCAGATCTCCGACCCCTTCGGCGTCTTTCCGCACTCGCCTCCCGCCATGGACGGCCACTATCCCAAACTGGAGGAGATGATGCTGCTCAGTGGCGGGGGACAGTTTCTTGCGCCTTCCGGGGCGCCCGAGAGTGCGGGCTTCGGCGTGGCCGGGGAGCCCGGCGAGCAACATTTTGAGCACCTCGCGGCAGGTAAGCGTGATGGCCTCGCCCGGGCGGGCAGGGGAGTCCTGGTCAACCGCGGAGGCGGCAGCGCCCACGGGAGCTCCGAGACGCAGCGATGCCTCTGACCCGGCGGCTGCGCGGGGGTATCTCCTATGCTGTGCGTCAGCGGCTCTGGGCTCGTTGCTGCTGGAGACCTGCCAGCGGCGCTGCAATATGTTGCACTCAATTATTAATTAACCAGAAGCAAAGATCTGGGGCTGCACTGCGTGGGGATGGCTCGTGAAGCACTGGCAGCAGCTCCAGAGCTGCAGTGGCTGCTAGAAGTAATCACTTCTCTTCTATTTTCAGACACTTTTCCTGAGATCTCCCTGAACAACGAGAAAGCCATGCCAGAAACCAGCTATTCCAACCAAACGACACGGCTACCACCAATTACCTACACGGGGCGCTTCTCCCTAGAGCCGGCCCCAAACAGTAGCAACTCTTTATGGCCAGAGCCCCTCTTCAGCCTTGTCAGTGGGCTGGTGAGCATGGCTAATGCACCTCCCACCTCTACATCCTCTTCATCTTCTCCTTCCTCTTCACAGAGCACTCCCCTGAGCTGTTCTGTCCAAGCCAGTGAGAACAGTCCGATTTATTCAGCTGCACCAACTTTCCCCACTTCCACCTCTGATATTTTCCCCGAACCGCAGACCCAGTCCTTTCCCAGCCCGTCTGGAGTTCCCATCCAATATCCACCTCCAGCTTATCCGACTGCTAAAACCAACTTCCAGGTACCAATGATCCCGGATTACCTGTTCTCTCAGCAACAGAGTGAGCTCAACCTTATCTCAGCTGATCAGAAGCCCTTCTCAGCCCTTGAGACCAGAGCACAGCAGCCTTCCCTCACACCGCTGTCCACTATCAAGGCATTTGCCACACAGACTGGCTCTCAGGAGTTGAAGACCCTCAACACTAACTATCAGTCCCAGCTGATCAAGCCCAGCAGGATGAGGAAATACCCTAATCGTCCCAGCAAGACACCTCCTCATGAACGGCCCTATGCTTGCCCAGTGGAGTCCTGTGACCGGCGATTTTCACGGTCTGATGAACTAACTCGTCACATTCGCATCCACACTGGACAGAAACCTTTCCAATGCCGCATTTGCATGCGGAACTTCAGCAGGAGTGACCACTTGACCACACACATCCGCACACATACAGGAGAGAAGCCATTTGCTTGTGACATTTGTGGCAGAAAGTTTGCCAGAAGTGACGAGAGGAAGAGACACACTAAAATCCATCTTAGGCAGAAGGACAAGAAAGTGGAAAAGGCAGCTTCAGCCTCAACTACTTCTTCCCCTGTTGCTGCCTACTCATCCTCTGTGGCTACGTCCTACTCTTCCTCCGTAGCCACCACTTACCCCTCACCAGTGCGCACAGTGTATTCCTCCCCTGCTTCCTCTTCCTATCCCTCCCCTGCACACACAGCATTCCCATCCCCATCGATAGCAACCACTTACCCCTCTGTCACTGCCACGTTTCAGACCCAAGTGGCCACTTCCTTCCCATCTCCTGGGGTTACCAATAGTTTCAGCTCACAGGTAACTTCAGCACTTTCAGACATGACAACAACCTTTTCTCCAAGGACAATTGAGATTTGCTAAGATCACCTTCTGGAACAGGAGCGTTCACCTCTTCCACTGGCACTATGAGACATGGAGTCTTCAGTTACTCCCCCAACACTGTATGTTGCAAGGCTATCTAATATTTCTTTAAAATTCAGCTGCCTGAAAAAACTGCTGTTTAAGTTTTCCACCACTGTTGATTAACTTAATTTGCATGGACTGTGGATATAAGTTCAGTATAATTTTCCCCATAAACAAACGATAGTATTTTATTAAGAGGAAAGGACCTTTAATTAAGCACATAGCTGATGTAAATTGTATGTGTGCCATGGTTTTGCTTTCCTTTAGGTACTGTTGATGTTGAAAAAGTTTTGCATATCCACGTTGTATTATTTGGAGTTTGCAGGGCCATATTTTGTAAATGTTAATTCTATTTTAGTGGCAATGCTGTAATGAGTTTAAAACTTCTTTGGGTACAGCACTTACTGTATTTGAGCATGTAAGAGTGATGTTATGTAAAAAACACCTGATAAGACACTCAAATGTGGCAGAAGTTTTGCTTTTAAAGTTACAAGTCTTGGTGCCTTTTTGTGAAGCCTTGCTGATGTCATGCATTTGTGTGAATAGATGCTTTGCATCTTGCCTTAAAGCAAAAGGGATGTTATGCAAAGAATGTAAGAGAAAGCAGGTAATGTGTGGGGAAGGGAACACTGGTATGCCCTGGGAGACAGAATGTAAGCAAAAAACCCCACAGAAACAAATAGGAAACAAATTAAGAAGAACAACAACAAAATCCCACTTCTCAAAGTCTATTTTTGTTACAAAAATGTAAATTTATAAGTATGTATATTCAGGAGTTGGAATGTTGTAGTTACCTACTGAGTAGGCAGCAATTTTTTTGTATGTTATGAACATGCAGTTCATTATTTTGTGATTTATTTTTACTTTGTAATTGTGTTTGTTAAAATGAAAGTGACTGTTTGGCTTCTAAATACATTGAATGCGCTTTCCTGCAAATGGGATATTTGGTGTACCAATACCCTTCAGAAAATGTAATAAAAAAGCAAAATCAAATCATGTAAGTTTTCACATTTTCCTTTAAGCTGCCACATAAGAAGACTGCTGCAGCAAACCTGACTGCTAGGAAGTAATGGGTGCTATTTGTTTCCTGGAGAAGTATCTGCATGAAGAAAGGAAGGAGTATCAGTCACTCCTGACTGTGTCCAGGAGTGCTGTCAAAGGTGTGGATACAGCAAATGCCCTTGCATTGGCTGCATCATCTACTGTTTGGAAGTAATCACAATTCCTGTTTTCTGGCTTCTCCAGAAAGCAAAACAATGCTCCCAGTGCCGAAGGTGAGGCTTAAAAGTCAGAATCTCAAATATGCAAAGACCTTACTGGGTAGTAAAAAGTGTATGTTAAGGCAATGGCATAGTTTCCAGCTGAAAATAAAATAAGCTCAGTACACGTGGCTGATGGACGGGAGGCAGGGAGATGAGAATTGTCATAGCTTCTGTTACACAGCGCATGGCATAAGAAGTGCATGTACTTGATGGCCTATAGTACAAATGTTTTAGTGTTTGGAGAAGGAAAGTGCATCCTTATTTGATGGCTTAAATATATTTCAGAGTGCACAAGCTCTCTACAGAGTGAATTCAGAGGAGTTTGCAGCTGTGAAAAGTAGCAGTACAAATTTAAAGGAGGGGTCTAGTGTCAGTCTTTCCAAGTAGGTTCTTTACAAAGTACTTGATATCTGGAGTTGTGAGGAGCTGAGAAGCAAACACAGGAGTTGATGCCTGTATCTGGCATGATGTTCAACAGGAAGCAGTTTCTGTAGCAGATGGCACACACTAATACTTGCCAAAGTCAAGTCCACAGGCTCAGGAGTGCAACAAGCTGAATTCCCTGGCTAGTTCCTCTTGAATGCAGTCCTTAGATTTTGGTCTCAACTGTGGCAACTTTTACTTTGAATTGTCTGTCCACATGCATGACAGGAATGAAAGAAAACACATGGCCTTCTGTGCCTGGTCTTTTTGTGGCCTTTGTCCAGTAACAGGAAAGTATATTTCAGGGTTTCTGTGCATATTCTGTGAAGCTCTCTTTTTTCACGCTGGTCTGAAGAGGACAAGCCTTATGAAGTTTACTCCCTAGTTTTATTGGGAGCGTGAGAATTTTCTTTTGAGGAGGCCGCAGCACAGTTAGGATTCTCTCCCAAGGAGGCTGTTCCCAGGGAAGCAGCAGGCATTACCAGGAGCTGGGAAACTTCACCCCTTGTGAGTAAATGCCAGCTGGAGCTGGACAAGAAGCACACTAGGGGTAGCACAGGCCACTGTCAGAAAATTCGTTTGGCTGATTTAAACCTCAGCGGTTTGTGATCTGTGACTAGCTTCAGCTGTGATCATTAGCGACAGAGAAACAAAACGTGCGTCACCGCTAGCAGCAGCCCAGCTGGTCTTGGGGGCGCCGCGGGAACCCACAGCGACTGCTCGCGGAACGGCACCGCGCCGCCGGGGCCGGGCCGGGCAGCGGCACACCGCGCCACTGCTGGGAGCGCGCCGCCAGCGGCGGACTGAGCCGCGTCACGGAGGCACGGGGCCGCCAAGGCCGAACGGAAACGCCGCTTCAGTGGCGGCCGGAAGCAGGACCACCATATTTGGCGTTTCCACCTCTCCTTTTATGGTACTTCCGAGGCCCAAAAAAGGCGCTTCCTGCTTCCACCCTCCCGGGATTGCGCGGTAGATTTTCCGGGAGCCCGCTGGCCTGAGAGCCGCCGCTGCCTGGGCGCGGTTCCGCCCTCACCCCGGGGGCGACCTGGCTGGTTCCTTGCACGCAGCGGGCCCTGAATTGGCTGCGGGCGGCTCTGGGTTTGGGCAGCGTCTGCTTCGCCCAGGGCCCACCAGTAGGCCCGGAGCCTTTCGGACGCCCAACCCGGGGGATCTGCGGCTGAGGGCCCCGGGCCGTTCCTCGCTCCGCGTTCCGGTGCGGTTTCTTTCGTAGAAGCTTTGTCGCTTTGTGTACGTCCGTCAGAAATAGGTTCGGTGCAGTTTAACCCGAGGAGTGCTGAAAAGGCCGTTGCCCGCGTTCAGACAGGCTTTTCTTCTGTAGAGCCTTTTCATAAGCTGCTGTTCACCTGGGGAAGTGGGGGCGGTCCTTGCCTAGGAGGCTGTTTTGCTCTTTAATTGCGCTGTGTGGCCTCAGAATCTTTCTAGATGAATAGATTCTTCAGTCGCTTTTCCTTCAGAAATGTGTTTCTGGGCTGTAGGCCGGCTCTGGTGATTCTGAAGAACCCACCTTCCCCTTGTGTGCTATGTGGCCTTGTTGCTTTGTGCCTTGTTTTGTTCTGGAAATGCTACTAGAGATAACAGTTGTGAAATACAACTGTAAAGCAATTTTAGTTGCAGCTGTGGATTGAAAGACAAACACTCTGTAGAGAATGAGTTTAGTTCTAGCACTTCTGATGGCGGCTCATATGTAGTCAGAAATCTGACATAAAGTTCAGGAAAGCACAGCAGCATTTTGGTTGATTCTATTGGTTAAAGGTTTCAGCTGTGATTCTTATTTTTGTGTAAATAAGCTTGAGGTGGTGAGAAACTCCAGGTGTACTCAGGTGAACTGGAAAGCAGCTCTGAGTCATGAATTTAGTGGCAGAAGCTTTCTGTAATTCTGACATTCTTCTCAAGGATGAGGACGTTTTGTGAACAAAACCAGGTCCCAGGAGTTGCAGCTGTGGCTGTAACATGCCAGAGGCCTGTGGTGTCATAAAATGAACACACAAAGATCTTTATTTTTTAAAATGTGTCAGCATGAAAATGGAATAGCTAATAAGTAAGCAAATGTTGATAAAAACTTGCTAAGAAAACTGTTGTAATTGATCAAAAGAAATTCAGTTTCTGGTCTGTTGTCAGAGGTAGTCCTGGAATATTCTTCTAGCAGTTGTGACCTGTGGCTAATAAATTTCATGAGCTGGAGCCTCTCTTGGTGGTTTTTTTTTGTGTGACTCTATCCAGATGATTTATGGAGTTGGGCAAGGTCACAGTATTCATGGTATTTGACTGAAGGGTGAGTATTAGTGTATCCAGGTGCTGTCAGAAGTAGAAACTTCTGTGTGCTTAAACTCTCTACTTCATAATTTAGTTTGATTGCTATTAAGACTTACTGCAGAATGTGAAGATAATAAAGTTTCTGTGATAGGGGAAACCAAGTTTTGTAGCTTCTGTGTCTGTTTTGTAAAGTGAGTGGTTTGTACCTCCTGTCATCCTTTCCTGTACCTCGTGTCATTCTCCTTTGTTGTTTCTGATAAGTAGAGGCCTGCACTATCTGCAGTATTCAGCATGTCCCTGCTTGAGCAGGTTTGGCCAGATGACCCCCAGAGGTTCCTTCTAACCTAAACCGTTTTGTGATTCTCTGATGTAGGATGAATATAGATTAATTGAAGTATATATTTTTGCCTCCTATGTTCTTTATTACTTGTCAGATATTTCCAAACATTCCATCTGGCTTTTGAGCAGTGATCTGATCGCTCCAGTCACTCCAGAATGTGGAGACAAAGCAGCAAGAGTCGGCAGAAGAGAGGAAATATGGCAACAGGTGAACCTCAAATAACTAAATATTAGTGCAGTAAATTCAAGATTGTTGCACGTATAATGGAAACCAGAGAGGAAAAAAAGCCTCTGGGGAGAAGTCTTGTGCATTATGGGGTGTCTTGTTGGAATCTTGTGTTACAGGAAATTGAGGCTGCCTTGTAAACTAAAGTCTTTATGTTAAAAAAAAAAAAAAAAAAAAAGTTAACAGTAAAACATTCCCCACTTGTAGAATGTGTTGTGTTTAGGTAGTTCTTGTAGTAGTTCACTGGGTCTCACGTGTTCCTTTTCTTGCTTGGAGGAAGGCACCTCTGTGAATGTATTTCCTTATTGCAGCATTTTTATATGGGAAGGACAGACATCTGTCTTTTTTTCAACATGCTGCAGTTTCTGTTTTTGAAAAGCAATGGCAGTGAATAGGTGAAACACTGGGTGAGAGGAGACTGTCATGGTTATCATAACCAGGAGACCAAAGAGGGAGGATGGAATGCTCTGTCTGAATTTGTGCACAGTGACAGAGTTGTCATGGCAGGAGATACAGACAGAGTACATGCTCTTTTTCTCTAAAGATGAAGTTGCCACCGTTTCAGTTCTTATCACAACTTTAAGAGATAGTGTTTCACCACAATAGTACTGTTAAACAAGCTTTTAAAGTTATTTTGCTGTGTGTCACCTACCTTTGCATGTCAAACCTCTGTCTTATTTCACAAAATTTATTCTATTGGATAAAGGACTGTGGTGTTGCTGTCTATTAGAAGACATGTTGTAAGTTCCTCTTGAGCACCATACAGAAACCACTGTATAACATCCCATTTCTTGCATCTCTGTTCTCTCTTCCTGTCTTTTTCGTACCATAGTGCTAATCCAGAGCACAGTGTTTGGAGTCACTATGGCATGCAACCAAGAGCATTTGTGGCTGTCCAATGATAACCTGATTGTGAAGCTTTAGGCTTGCTGTTGAGGCTGTCTTGTTTGTCAGGAATTTGTCTCCAGAGTGAGTTTTTTGAAGAAGGAAGTTCCAGCAATCAGTCACATCCAGGTATGAAATCCTTTAATTTGGTTAGAAAATTGTTAGTTGCTCTCTATATGCACACTTATTGACTAGTTTTGTTCAACACAAAGAGTTGCCACACAATTAGATATCTTCTCATTTTGTGGATTACTGAAAGGCATTTCCTTCTCCCAAAAAATCTTTGTGTAAGTTACTTCTCTTAATGATATATGAGCCATAATTTCTTCTCAAGCAGAACAGAGAGAGAGAGAGAAAGCACATCTGAGAAATGTTCACCTGTCATTTCACTATCTCATTTGGTGTTTTGGAACTAGGACAATATGAAGTTTATGTAGTGGAAATGCTAAGTTATGGCCTGAAACAGTGATTTGAGCACCTGGTGGGAAGGCAAGGCTAACAGGAGAGCTCAGGTGCAAGCAGTGTATCTGAGTGACTGGAAGGAGCGGAGCCAGGATCCACCTCTTCCCAGACCTCGTTTAAGGGTTGGCAGTGGAGGTGAGGGCTTCTCTTGCTGGAGGTCTCTGCCTACCTGAGGCCGCTTCTGTTTAGTATCGTTATTAATGATCTTGATGAGGGGGTTGAGTTCACTCTCAGTAAGTTTACATATGGCACCCGGTTGGGAGGGAGTGTTGATCTGCCAGAGGGGAGAAAAGCTCAACAGAGGGACCTGGATGGAATGGATCAATGGGCCAAGGTAAACTGTATGAGTTTCAAGAGGGCCAGGTGTTGGGTCCTGCATTTTGGTCACAACAACTCCAGGCAACCCTACAGGCTTGGGGAGGAGTGGCTGAAAAGCTGCCTGATGGAAAGGGACGTTGGTGTGCTGATGGACAGCTGGCTGAGTGTGAGCCAGCAGTGTGTCCATGTGGCCAAGAAGGCCAATGGCTTCTGGCTTTTATCAGGAATGGTGTGGTGAGCAGGACTGGGGAAGTCATCCTGCTCCTGTGCTCAGCACTGGTGAGGTCTCACCTCGAGTACTGTGTTCAGTGTTGTGCACTTCAGTTTGGAAAGGACATGCAGGTGCTGCAGCAGGTCCAAAGAAGGGCAACAAGGCTGTGAAGGGCTTGGAGAATATGGCCTACGAGGAGAGACTGAAGGAACTGGGGCTGTTCAGTCTGGGGAAGAGGAGGCTGAGGGGAGACCTGATTGCTCTTCCAATACCTGTAAGGTGCTTACAGTGAGAGTGGGGCTGGTCTCTTCTCAGTGGTGACAGGATGAGGGGAAATGGCCTCAAGTTGTGCCAGGGTAAGTTTAGGTTTGATATCGGGAAGAAACTTCTATACAGAAAGGGCTGTTAAGCACTGGAATGGGGTCCCCGGGGAGGTGGTTGGGTCACCATCCCTGAATGTGTTTAAAAACCATCTGGATGCGGTGCTAAGGGACGTGATTTAGCAGAGGGTTGTTAGAGGTAGGGTAGTATGGTTAGGTTGTGTTAGGACTTGATCTTTAAGGCCTTTTCCAACATGAGCAGTTCTATGATTCTCAAGGTAATAATCTATTTTCTGAAGTTTGGTCACTTATTTTTACTTAATGCTGAAAACCCACCAATGGGTATGGTTCGGAAATCTGTCCACTTGCTGAAATCACTGACCAACATCTTCAGGAGGACCTTGAGCTGATGTAACTCTGCGAGGAAGTTGTAAGCTGCACTGTACAATCAGCAACTTGAAAATGATTTCAGTTTAATGGACAGCAAAATGGCTGCTAGTGGAAGAACAAAATAATGCTGCAGGATCAAAGTGTACTATTAGGAGATGAGCAGAATGAATTGAGGCCAGTGGCAGTTAGTCAGTGCAGAGTTCCTGGCCTCGGATCTCACCTGCTCAGACTTGCTGGAGAATGTTCCTCCAGACTTGGTGGTTTTCCTCCCACTGAATTCATACTCTGTTACACTTACTTAGCATGTATCCCTAGGAGATGGTTGTAGAAGGAAAAGGAACAAGATCTGAAGCATTTTAAAAGCAAACAAAGGAGCATAAAGGAAAACTCACACCAAACTGCGCTGACCCAATGAAGGCAGCAGACTGAATGGTGGAAGGCCTTGAGAATTGTTTTGTTGTTCACTTGTGGTTACATTGGTCATGAACTTGCACACCTTAATTTCTCACACTTTGGATGCTGTAGCAGAGGGTGGAGGGGAGATTTCAGAGCAGGAAAAGTACTCTGGCCGCTTGGTGTTGGTTGGCTGATGGAGGCCCCCTCTGTCACTTTGCTGACGATTAATTTCACCAAAGCTCAGTGGCATCGCTGATGCAGCGGTTCCTTTTTTCATTCAGGCTGGAGATCCGGTCTCCTTTTCCTTTGCTCTGAATAGCACGGCGCTAGGCTTAACCTGGAGTGGCATTCTGAGCTGTGGCAGTGAAGTTCAGTTCTGAAGGAGGCTCCAACTCTCAGGCTGGTGCTGGCAGCAACAAGTGCCATCGTTCTGAGTATGTAGAGGCAGTGAGGCAGCAAAATAGAAAACAGGTGTTGGGGCTTGAAGCTCAGTTCAGAAAGAAAGGGGTTTTCAAGCATCGTCAGGACGCTACCAGCTCTGATAGTAATCACTGCTCAGAGTGGTCAGTCCTCCTAGGGTTCTCAACAAACTCAGGAATTTGGGGACAGCATGGAGAACTCCCTACTCCAACGAATGACATTCCTCTTCATCAGCCCAGACGTACCTTACCTCTGTCTTTTCTACATGTAAGAAAGCAGCCTCTCTGGTGCAACTTTTTCCAGTGTTGCTTACTTTGGAATGTGTAAGTGTGGAATCTGTCCCTCTCTGTCCTTTGCATGATGTCATTTCTCACAGCAAAAAGCTTTCTAAGGAGAACAAGCAGCAGCTCTGACATGATGACGCTGAACAAGCAAAAGGGAGACTTGAAAGCTTTGAGCAAAGAGAAGGGGGGGGAAGAAAGCTGGAAGCCTGTCAACATCTTTTCTACTTCCTTAGTAGGTACGCAGCTTCTCGTGCTGCTCCTAGAGCACACCTCCTGTCATAGAGGCTTCCCTGTGCCGGTGCAGTCTTGGCAGTGCGCTGCAGCGTTGCAGCATCGTAATTCTTTGTGGCGCTGGCCTTTGTGGATGCATGCATGAAGCATTTTTCTTCTTGTTGTAGACTAGCCCAGGGTAGTTGGCAAGCTGACTTTTTCAGATGCCTAAAAGCAAATGCAGAGCTCATGGATTTGGTCATCTTCACGCTGTGTAACTGTGTGTCCAGACGAAGAGAGGAATATCTGCTGTGTCAGCTTTCCCAAACAGCGCTTCTGGAGGAGATCAGGTATGTTGTAGCATAGGACACAGCCTTGCTGTGTTGCCTCAGTTTGGACAGTTTCTAGAATGGAAACCATTCTTGTGTGACGTCCTGTGCTAATTTGCAGATAATTTCCTGCATTCTGCTTATCCCGTTTCACATTAGTCCTTTCTGTAATCTGGAAAGGAGAAATTAACTTTGTTCTTTAGGAATTAATCTGTTTGTCTTTAGCCCCTACTTTGTTGCTCAGGAAGGCACTATTTTTGATCTAACTTAATGCCTTTCTGAAATTCAGTTCAATCTAAATTCTCTGCTGTCTAGTAAGAAGGACTGCCCACAGATTGCAGGCTGGGGCGTTACAGGCCAGTGATGAAGCTAACAAGGAGGCGTCTGGGTTTTAAAAAAGGAATCAGAAGGCTGAGAATCAGGTGCTTTGTTTGATGTTTTCACTGGCTGTCCTACTTCAAGATTCTGTTGGTCCATAGGCACGTCGGCTTGGTGCTTATGACTTCAGTTCTTATGATACAGAGCTGCACCTCTTGCTGCCTAGACCAAATACAGATATTGTTGGAGGAGATTACTCTATGCATTATATATGTATATTTTTAATGCTTTTAAAGTGTGAGGGTGGTATATGCCTTCAAACAAGTAGTGTCTAAAAGAAATGTATTTTTTTGTTCTTTTTTTCTTTTCTTGAGCAGTGGTTCAGAGAAATGTGGATGCTTTCTTCCCTGCTGCTATGTTTCCTATAGTGGTATTGTAGGGATGGTTTCTACTGTTGATTGCTTACTTTCTTATTTTAAATGCTGAAGGAAGTATACCATTCTTTTTCTTCTGCTTATGTAAGACTCCCTTTGTTTCCTTCCTAGATCTGAGCTGTGCTCTGGAACAGAATGTACAGCTGGATCTAGAACAGTTGCCAAAGAGGAGTCTGCGGACAAACGGTGCTGCATTTCCCAGAGGGAGGTCATCGAGCTCCTTGCCTTCTCGCAAAGTGTTCTTGTATTTTTCTTAAACAGCATTGCATGTTACTGCTGTACCGAGACTTTTATGACAACTCCATTATCTGTTTCCCAAAGGTGATGCTGAGAAACACGTCTCATGCATACCTCACGTTTTGTATTAATTCTTCCTTTGGGTCAAAAGCAGACCAAATCCTTGAAAGGAGGCTGAAATAAAACTGAGTAACTGTCTCACTGTTATTAAAATAGTTTGGCTGTGGTTCCTGTGGTCAGAATGCCCTGTGGCAGCTCCTGGCACCACTTGTGAATGAAAGAATTGATGACAAATTGCTTGATATCACGACCGATCTGGTGGATATTTACAAGCCTTGGGGGATCCAGACAGGATCTCAGAGTGGTGAGGCCAGGTCTGGAAGCTGCTACTACAGTGTTTCTTCTAAGTGTTGCTCAGCTCTTTTGCATTGCTCTTATGAGAGGTAGATTGTGGTTTTGTAGTAGAAGCTTCCAGTATTTTCTGTATGTAGTATAGGTCTATGCTGAACTTACAACCCTTTTGTGAAATAGCAGTTTTCCTTCCGCTAAGTAAGTTGCTAAACAGAGTAAAAAGTTAAGATCTGGGGCATTCTGATGGGGGTAGAACTGAGCCAGGCACAAAATAAGGCAAATACGCAGGGTGGAGAGAGCAGGACAGAACAAACGTGCTCATTCTTGGAATTGTTGCCCTCCATGGAAGAGTACAAAACATACCCAAGAAACAACAGGTTGGTAATGGACCTTATGTGGAAATGAGTCACAGCAGCAGCGTTGGAGAGCTTGTGAACCTGAGATGCGAGCGCCAGGAGAGCATTGCCTGCGTCGGGTTCAAGTGTATAGAACAGAATGAATTTTGAAGACTGGTGTGCAATTACTCCCTTGCTAACGGGGGTGTGCGCCCGTTACTGCAATAATAAATGAACCTTGTTGCTATCAGTAAGATCCTTGTCTAACCTGAAATTTTTGACTTGCAGTGTTTCTCACAAACGTGTAACAAAAATCAGGTTTGGTTAATTGTTCCAAGCCATCCTGGGCTTGGCTGCACACATCTGTCCGATTGATACCATTTTTTTTTTTTTTATTGCCTCAGGCTCTGTCTGGAAAAAAGCCAAATAATAAAAAGCATGACAACATCAATGTGCTGGTTATTTATTTATTGGCAGATATTTGTAAGCACGTAGCGCAGGTTCAGTGGGTTTGTCGAAGATGTCCTTCATTTTCTGTGTCGTCTCTTCTTCCCCCCCTTTCTCTCCTGTGTTTTTCCACTGCCATTAAAAGAGAAAGGGTTGCTGGGTGCCGTGCTGCAGATGCCCATCAGTCCTACAGGTGAAATGATTTTCACGGTCTCCGATGCCACCGCGTGGCCAATCGGCAGAACTACGTCCAAATTATTTCCGCGGTCTGTGGTGCCCCCTCGTGGTCACTTGGAGGAACAGCGACGAAGCTGTTTCCACGCTCTCTGGTGTCCTTACGTGGCCAATCGGGGGAATTGCGGCAGCTTTTTTTATGTTGCCGCAGGGAGCAGGACGCGTGCGCCTAGGCGCGTGGAGGTGGCGTGCGCACCTTCTCGTCCTTCTGCGCAGCCGATCCGCCGATCTTGGTTTTGCTTAGTTCTCCAGGCAGCAATGCGCATGCGCTAGAAAGTTTTCAATAGCGTACATGTTTTCAAAGCGCTGAGATGTGGGCGAACAGTCTATTCTTGGACCTCTGGCTTAGCAATGGTTTTATCTCTTCCAACCCGCAGTGCTCCTTGTCTATTTTCTTGGGTGGTTTTATGCCTGAGTCTATTTCGAGAACGGACTATTTAGGCTCCCAGCGGACCATGCATCTGACGCATGCGTAATGAGGCACTGAAAAAACTGAATGCATAGGTGTGTATCCGAAAATGAGAATACATAATCATGGGAGTATGCTGGCGCGTGCTTAGTCCAGTGCTGAGGCAGGTGCATGCACAGTACTGTGCTGGGACTGGCACGTGTGCACTCCAGTACCAAAAATGGCACAAGTGCAGTGCGGTGTGAAAACTGACATATGCGCAGTGCGGAGCCAAGGCTGGCACGTGCCCAGTACAGCGCTAACAATGGCACAAGCATCGTACGGTGCCCAGTGTGTTGCATGCGCCGTGCAGTGCTGGGACTGGCGCATGTGCAGACTACGACGTGTGGGCATTGCGGGACAGCGGATGGCACATGCGGAGTGCAGAGCGAACGCTGCCACATGCACAGTGAGCTACAAAGGCTGACACGTCAATGCAGGAAGGTGGCACATGCTCAGTGCAGTGCGATCAATGGCGCATGCACAATGCTCTCCTGCGATAGGCACGTGCGCAGTGCAGGGCCAAGAGCAGTGCATATGCAATGCTGTCATAGCTGGCAGTGATGAGACAGGCACATGCACAGTGTCGTGCGAATACCGGCACATGTGCAGCATGGTGATGCGACAGCTGCATGCACAGTACAGTGTAAAAGATGGCTCATGCATTCTCTGGTCCCAATATTCGCACACGCGCATTATTGTGCCTAAGCTGGTGCATGCACTGTACCATGCAATGGGCTTATGTGCAATTGCAGTGCCAAGGCCAGCGCATACTCACTGCGAGGCCGAGGATGGGGTGTACGCAGTGCTGGGTCGATGCTCAGGCATGCGCATTGCGGGGTTGAGACGAGCGCATGCACCGTGCTGTGCAGAATCCTGTGCGTAGTGCCTTTTTTTAATAAGGACAGGCGCATGCGTAGCACTGTGTCGTGAATGTCGCATGCGCTGTGCATATAGAACCTGCTCATGCTCAGTGCGGGACCGAGCCTGGTGCATGCGTACTGTTGTCTCGAGAATTGAGCCTGCATAGTGCAGTACAGAAACCGCTGCATGCGCAGTGTAGTCTCTAGATTCATACATGTGTATTGGTTTCTTGACACTTGTGGTGCTGTGCCGTGCTGCACGCCACTAGTGCGACTGCGAACCTCTGAGCTGATCGTGTTTCACTCCTGCTGACAATGCTTTTAAATGGCTGGGGGATGGTGCACGGCTTGGAGTGGAAGGGGAAGCCTGCTATTCCAATGCTGCGGCGAGCAAATTGGATGCCGCGAGGCGCTGAGGAGCATGTGTGAGTCAAACCCACCCATTCCCGGGTGGGCCCGGGCATAAAACAGTGGAAATAGATGAGGGCCATCCTGGATTAGAAGGGGAAAATATCGCTCAGCCGGCAGTCCAAGAATCGGCTGCTTGCCCGTAGCCGTAGTGGTTTTTCGAGACAGTTGCTGTTTTTAAGTTGCCGGGCGCATCTTCGCTATTAGCTGGAGGACTGATCACCGTAGAGAGTGGCGGATTAGCTGCGCAGAGCGGTTAGAATGCCACTTCCGCATTTTGTACGCGCATGCGTTGTGCTGCTTGTGGGACGCAGCGGCCGTTTCGCGCATTGGCCACG